TAGACAGGAGAGGCTTCGTAGACAGGGGGGGGCTCCATAGACAGGAGAGGCTCCATAGACAGGAGAGGCTCCATAGACAGGGGAGGCTCCATAGACAGAAGAGGCTCCATAGACAGAAGAGGCTCCATAGACAGGGGACGCTCCATAGACAGGGGACGCTCCATAGACAGGAGAGGCTCCATAGACAGGGGAGGCTCCATAGACAGGAGAGGCTCCATAGACAGGAGAGGCTCCATAGACAGGGGAGGCTCCATAGACAGGAGAGGCTCCATAGACAGGGGAGGCTCCATAGACAGGGGAGGCTCCATAGACAGGCAGGTCTGGTAGATGTGCACATTAAGCACTGCCCTGGCAGCACGGGGTTCACATTTCAGAGAGGGAATAGTCAGGTTTATTAAAGGAGAACTCTGCTTTCTCGGGCTCCTGAGTTGAAGGCGGTGGAGTTCTCTGACCACTGTATGCTGTCTGTGACTCTGAATGCCTCGGACGCTCCACCCAGGGGAAGGGTGTCTGTCTGGGAACTGAATTCGGCTCTCCTGGAAGATGTAGAGGTAAGACAATCCTTTGAGGAGTTCTTTCAGGGACAGGTTTCTAGTCTGGACTTTTGCAGCAGTAAGTCCGAGTGGTGGGAGCTCGTGAAACAAACTGGATCAGGTGAGTGATATTTCCCATAATCCCTCTCCAGAACCTAGGAGGCATGCGGATCGTATTGACACTTCCTAAGAAGAAGCTTCACTTCAGATATCTCCCCTGCATCTCCTCCATACGAGACAAGGCGATCGAGCTTCCTCCACAAATGCTGGTAGACAATATACATACCAAGCTGCTTCTTCTTACTTATGGCCTTGAAAAGTCCGATCGCAGTAAGTCAGAGTGGTGGGAGCTCGTGAAACAAACTGCGATCGGACTTTTCACGGCCATAAGTAAGAAGAAGCAGCTTGGTATGTATATTGCCTACCAGCATCTGTGGAGGAAGCTCGATCGCCTTGTCTCGTATGGAGGAGATCCAGGGGAGATCTCTGAAGTGAAGCTTCTTCTTAGGAAGTGTCAATACGACCGGCATGCCTCCTTGGTTCTGGAGAGGGATTATGGGAAATATCACTCGCCTGATCCTTACCAGAACTGTAAGCAAGGCATAGCAGTGAAGACGGTCATTGGCCTGAAAGACAGTCCGGGTTCCCTGATGAAGTCCAGATCAGGGATCTTGGAGATCTTCGGGTCGTATTATGCAGATCTCCTGGGAAGAAAGGACCTTAGCCGGGACAGGATGGATTGACGGCTGAATCTTACAAGTGTTTTAGGTCCATTCTGGCTCCCTTCCTTGCGGAGGTTTTTAACAGCTGTCTAGAAGAGGGTTCGCTCCCTCCCTCCATGAGGCAATCCGCTGTGATTCTTCTGTCAAAAGGTAAAGACCCCTCAATGATTGAGAACTGGCCCCCCATCAGTCTTCTCAATGTTGATGGATCTTGGGAAAGATTCTTTTTTGGCGCTTGTCGTCAGTAGCAGGCGATTTGTTGTCCAGCCATCAGCACTGTAGAAGGTAGAAGGACCTTTTCAGCAGTTGTGGCTCTCCGGGAGGCTCTGGAACGATGCCGGGCTGCTGGATGGAGAAGGTACTTGCTGGCATTGGATCAGGCAAAAGCTTTTGATCGAGTGAATCATGAATATCTGTGGTTGCTGCTTGGTAGATATGGCCTGCAGGGAGGTTTATAGATTGGCTGAAGACATTATATAGAGGGGCTGAGAGCTTCCCACTTGGTGATGGTTGGGTTGGGCGGCCTTTTGAGGTCGGCTCTGGTGTGCGCCAGGGATGTCCTTTGAGCCCCCTGCTATATGCTTTCACAAGCGACCCCTTTGTAAGAAGGCTAGAGGGCGCATCGTTGTGCGGGGTGCCTCTGGGCATTGCTGGTGTGCCGCCTTTGAAGGTCGTTGCCTATGTTGATGATGTGTCTGTTATTATCTCTGGGACTGAGGAGGCGCAGGAGGTGGTCTCTGTGATAGAGCAGTACACGGAGGCTTCTGGCTCTAAAGTCAACCATGAAAAGAGTGAAGTTTTCTGGATGGGTGAGGAGGGTGAAAGCTTCGAACTTCCGGATGCCTTCCCAGAGCCCCAGCAGGAAATTAAAATTTTGGGCATCAAATTTGGTCCTGGTGACTATGGTCATCGAAACTGGGAAAGCAGGTTGGTAGTTGCCAATGCCAAAGTAGCGAGCTGGAAGAGATGGAGGCTTTCCTTGAGAGAGAGGGTTGACTTGATCAAAACTTACCTGATCCCGATCTTTTTATATATGGATGTCGCTCCACTTCCTTAAATTGAACCTCTCCAAAACCGAGTTTCTTGTCTTCCCCCCCCCCCCAGCCCGGACACCACCCCCCATTGATTTCTCCGTCACATCCAACAACGCTACCATCAAACCCGCCCTGCAGGCCAGAGTACTGGGTGTCATTCTGGACTCCAACCTATCCTTCCAGCCCCAAGTCCAATCTTTAACAAACTCGTGCAGACTCCACCTCCGCAACATCGCCAAAATCCGCACGTTCCTAACCCCAGAAACCACTAAACAGCTCATCCACTCCCTCATCATATCACGACTCGACTACTGCAACTCCCTCCTCACTGGCCTGCCTCGCCGCTGGCTATCCCGGCTTCAGTCCATCCTGAATTACGGCTGCCAGACTCATTCACCTTTTCCAACCGCTCTGTCTCTGCCACCCCCCTCTGCCAATCCCTCCACTGGCCTCCACTCAGTGTCCTCCACCCCCCTCTGCCAATCCCTCCACTGGCCTCCACTCAGTGTCCTCCACCCCCCTCTGCCAATCCCTCCACTGGCCTCCACTCAGTGTCCTCCACCCCCCCCTCTGCCAATCCCTCCACTGGCCTCCACTCAGTGTTCTCCACCCCCCTCTGCCAATCCCTCCACTGGCCTCCATTCAGTGTCCTCCACCCCCCTCTGCCAATCCCTCCACTGGCTTCCGATTGCGCAACGGATCAAATTCAAAATCCTAACACTGACATACAAAGCCGTCCACCATACTGCCCCCGAACTACATCACTGACCTAATATCCAAGTACCACCCAACACGCACACTCCGCTCCTCACAAGACCTCCTCTCTAGTTCCCTGGTCTCCTCCTCCCATGCCCGCCTCCAGGACTTCTCCAGGGTGTCACCCATCCTCTGGAACTCCCTGCCCCAACCCATCAGATTATCACCTACTCTCCTCTCCTTTAGGCGCACCCTGAAAACCCATCTCTTCAGGGAAGCCTACCCCCACCCCCTGCTAATTGCCGACCTCCTCCACTCTTCCTACCACTCCATCCCCCACAGCTATCTCCTCCTGTGCCACCATCCCCTCCCTCCTAGATTGTAAGCTCCCAGGATCAGGGCCCTCGATCCCCTCATGTATCGCATTGTATTGGTATTGTTCTGTCACATGTTCTGTCCCCCTCTGTAATGTACAGCGCTGAGCCAACTATTGGCGCTTTATAAATCCTGTATAATAATAATAATATGTCAGCTTCGTCTGTATCTTGCCGGTATCTCTCTATGCACGGGTCTACAGCTGTTTTTTCTAACTGTTATGGGGAAATAGGCTGAACGCAATGTAACTTACCTGTCCAGGTGGGAGGGTGGCCTAGGAATGGTCAACCCGATAGTTTTCTTTGCTCTTTTTAAAGGACAATCTTGGTAATATGTTACAGAGACCCCGCCGGGATGGGTGGGTATTTTTCAGTCTTGGTTTTAGGCCTTTTCTGCATTGCTGGGAAGATGGCGGCCCAGTGAAAAAAGTCTGAGAGTCCGACATGGCAAGCTCCCGGCTTATGTTGCCCCCGTGTCTGAAAATACTTCGGCAGTGGCAGGTGACAGTGGAGGATATCAGGTCCCTTCCCAGGAAGCTTCTGGGGGGAGAGGATTTTGGCTTCTGCTTTCAGTGTGTCACTGGCCTTAAAGGATTGCCCAGGCTCCGTAATGAGGGAGGGATTGCGTTTAATTAACTTGGAGAGAATCCCTTTGAAGTTTAGGGATCAAGCCTGGCTCGCTTTCCATGGAAGGCTCTATGTGAGGGGGAACCTGAAGCACCACCCTGTGGATGATCGGGATTGTCCTAGAGCAGAGTGTGTTGGTAAAGTGGAGTCTATGGACCACTTTCTGCTCCTGTGTCCCTTTAACATAGAGGTGTATAAAAGGGTGGGGAGGGCTCTGGGCATCCCCTTTCTCTATCGCATGAGTTATGCAGAGTGGGGTGTACGGGGCATTCCCAGCTCGCTGGGACTTTGATTTGGATACACTTTTTCTAGTTAGTATAGTTGTCCGTTACTTCACATGGGACGCACGGTGTCAGATCACCCTGCGGAAGAAAGTCCTCCCTGTAGAGGTGGTGGTGCACGATATTCTGGGTGAGGTTGGGAAGATTCGGGGTCTTGAGAGGGTCAGAGAGCCTCGGGCGGTCTGGATAAGGGCGTGGAGGAATATCAGACCTGCCTTTGGTGAACTGTCCATCTCTGGGTGAGGGGCTCTTTCCTTATACTGTTCTTTTCACTCCCGTAGTTTTTGTTGATTAAGATCTTTTTTGAAGAAGGGCTGCATGCATAATGAGGGCGGGGCTGCATGCATAAGGGGGCGGGGCTGCATGCATAAGGGGGGCGGGGTGGTTTTCTTGACCTCACAGGTTTGATGTCTGGTGTAGTGATGTGAGTGGTAGTACGATTTATTTCCCCAATTATGTCATGTTCATTTCTGAGACGTTTGCTTTTGTCTGACAGCAGATTTTGCTATGTTTATTTTCGTTTTGCTGTAAATATATATAATTTTTTTTTTATATTCTGTATAATATTTTATGTTTATTGATTGCGAGACTTTTAATAAAGAAAAATTGGGAAGAATGCTCCTTACATTGGGGGTCAGTGGGGAAGAATGTCCCTTACATTGGGGGTCAGTGGGAAGAATGTCCCTTACATTGGGGGTCGGAGGGAGGAAGTCCCTTACATTGGGGATCAGTGGGAAGAATGTCCCTTACATTGGGGGTCAGTGGGAAGAATGTCCCTTACATTGGGGGTCAGTGGGAAGAATGTCCCTTACATTGGTGGTCAGTGAGAAGAATGTCCCTTACATTGGGGGTCAGTGGGGAAGAATGTCCCTTACATTGGTGGTCAGTGGGAAGAATGTCCCTTACATTGGGGGTCAGCGGGAAGAATGTCCCTTACATTGGGGGTCAGTGGGAAGAATGTCCCTTACATTGGGGGTCGGTGGGAAGAATGTCCCTTACATTGGGGGTCAGTGGGAAAGAATGTCCCTTACATTGGGGGTCAGTGGGAAGAATGTCCCTTACATTGGGGATCAGTGGGAAGAATGTCCCTTACATTGTGGGTCAGTGGGAAGAATGTCCCTTACATGGTGGTCGGAGGGAGGAAGTCCCTTACATTTGTGGTTGGTCGTAGTGGGAGGGAGGAAGTCCCTTACATTGGGGGTCGGTGGGAAGAATGTCCCTTACATTGGGTCGGTCAGGTGGGAAGAATGTCCCTTACATTGGGGTCGGTGGGAGGAAGTCCCTTAGCATTGGTGGTCGGTGGGGGAGGGAAGTCCCTTACATTTGGGGGGTCAGTGGGGAAGAATGCGCCCCCTTACATTGGCCTGTCGTGGTCAGTGGGAAGAATGTCCCCCTTACATTGGGGGTCAGTGGGATGAATGTCCCCTTACATGGGGGTCAGTGGGAAGAATGTCCCTTACATTGGGGGTCAGTGGGAAGAATGCCCCTTACATTGGGGGGTCAGTGGGAAGAATGTCCCGTTACATTGGGGGTCAGTGGGAAAGAATGTCCCTTACATTGGGGGTCAGTGGAAGAATGTCCCTTACATTGGGGGTCAGTGGGAAGAATGTCCCTTACATTGGTGGTCAGTGGGAAGAATGTCCCTTACATTTGGGGGTCAGTGGGAAGAATGTCCCTTACATTGGGGGGGTCAGGATAAGAGGAATGTCCCTTACATTGGTGGTGATCGGAGTGGGAAGGAAGTCCCTTACATTTGGTGGGGTCCAGGCTCGAGGGGGAGGAAAGTGTCCCTTACATTGGGGGTCAGTGGGAAAGAATGTCCCTTACACTTGTCGTTGGGTGTCGGGGGAGGAAGTCCTTACATTGTGGGGTCTCGGTGGGAAAGTCCTTACAAGGGGGTCTGTGGGAAAGGAAAATGTCCCTTAACACATTGGGGGTCGGTCGAGAGCGAGTGGGAGAAGTCCCTTACATTGGTGGTCGGTGGGAGGAAAGTCCCTTACATTGGTGGTCGGCGGGAGGGTCAGTGGGAAGAATGTCCCTTACATTGGGGGTCGGTGGGAAGGTAAGAATGTTCCCTTACATTGGGGGGTCAGTGGGGAAGAATGTCCCTTACATTGGTGGTCAGTGGGAAGAATGTCCTTACATTGGGGGGTCAGCGGGGGAAGAATGTCCCCTTACATTGGGGGTCAGTGGGGAAGAATGTTCCCTTTACATTGGGGGTCGGTGGGGGAAGAATGTCCCTTTACATTGGGGGGTCAGTGGGAAGAATGTCCCTTACATTGGGGGTCAGTGGGAAGTGAATGTCCCTTACATTGGGGAATCAGTGGGAAGGGAAGAATGTCCCTTACATTGTGGGGTCAGTGGGAAGAATGTCCCTTACATTGGTGGTGTCGGGAAGGGAGGAAGTCCCCAGGTACATTGGGGGATCAGTTGGGAAGAAATGTCCCTTACATTGTTGGGTCATTGGGGAAAGAATGTCCCTTACATTGGTGGTGGTCAGTGGGAAGAAGAATGTCCCTTACATTAGGTGGTCGGGAGGGAGGAATGTCCCTTACACATTGGTGGTCGGTGGGGGGAAGAATGTCCCTTACATTGGGGTCGGTGGGAGGGGAAGTCCCTTACATTGGTGGTCGGCGCGGACTTAGGAGGAAGTCCCTTACATTTGGGGGACTGCCAGTGTGGGAAGAATGTCCCTTCATACATTGGTGGTCAGTGGAGAAGAATGTCTCCCTTACCATTGGAGGGGTCATAGTGGGGAAAGAATTGTGTCCCTTTACATTGGGGAGGGCCACATCTTCAGTGGGAAAGAATAGGTCCCTTTATAGTGGGTCAATCTGGGTAGGGGGTTACCTTTTGTACATTTCTGCATTGTCAAGTGGGGAAAGAATGCCCCTTAAACATTGCGTGGTCGTCAGTTGGGAAGAACTGAATGAATGGGGTTCCCTTACATTGGGGGTTGGGGAATGTCAGTGGGGACTCAAGAATGTCTCCCTTACATTGGTGGGTCAGTGGGGTGAAGAATGTCCTTACACAATTGGGGTCAGGGGAAGAATGTCCCTTACATTTGGGCTCGGATCTTTTCGGGTGGGAGGTAGGAAAGGTCCCTTACATTTGGTGGTCGGGGACGGGAGGGAGAAGAGTCCCTTACATTGGGGGGTCGGTGGGAGGAAGTCCCTTTACATTGGGGGTCAGTGGGAAAAGGAAATGTCCCTTATACATTGGGGGTCGGTGGTGGGTGAGAAGAATGTCCCTTACATTGGGGGGAGGCCTTGGGAAGAATGGTGGAGGGGGTCCCGAAGAATGATCCCTTACATTAGGGTCGGTGGAGAGGAAGTCCCTATTACATTGGTGTTGGGTCGGTTGAGGGAGGGAAGTCCCTTACAATTGGACTTTGGGGGGGGTCAGTGGGAAGAATGTCCCTTACATTGGGGGTCGGTGTGGAAGAATGTCCCTTACATTGGGGGGTGCGGTGGGAAGAATGTCCCTTACATTGGGGTCGGGTGGAGAGGAAGTCCCTTACATTGGGTCGGTGGGAGGAAGTCCCTTACATTGGGGTCGGTGGGAGGAAGAGTCCCTTACAATTGGGGGTCGGTGTCCCTTACATTGGGGTCGGTGGGAGGAAGTCCCTTACATTGGGGGTCGGTGGGAGGAAGTCCCTTACATTGGGGGGGGAGGAAGTCCCTTACATTGGGGGGTGGGAGGAAGTCCCTTACATTGGAGAAGCAGTGGTGGTTGGAAGATGTATTGGAATTCTGCGATCAATAACGAGAGGATCAGATAGCTGAGACTTTATTATACGGTGTCACGTTGATGACAATTGTTAGGGGGTGTCCCCGCGCTGTGACTCCATGGTGTCTCCGTGTCCCTTGTGGTGGATCTGTAGTCACCCCATACAGTTCTGGCCGAGGTGACCCTTTATCCTCCATCACACAATCTTCAGATCGCACTGAAAACAGACAAATCCCAGTCAGTGTATACATGGAAATGGCTCCGCCTTAAAACACACAATTCAATGAGATGACTCCACCCACACAACACAGACTGATATGGTTCTTCCTTTGGACCAAACCAACTCCATGAAATCATGGGGCTCAGGGGCTGGTAATAGACATAGGTGCTCGGGGGAGGGGACCAATGGAGAAATTGAGGGCCTAATAGACAGAGGTGTCTGTAGGAGCCTAATGGAGACGTTGAGGGGGGGAGGGGCAGAGGTGCTCATAGTGACCCAATGGAGAAGGAGCTGATGAACAGAGGTGCTCATAGGGACTTATGGAAAAGCTGGGGCCTGATGGACAGAGGTGCTCATAGGGACCTAATGGATAAGTTGGGGCCTGATGGACAGAGGTGCTCATAGGGACTTATGGATAAGTTGGGGCCTGATGGACAGAGGTGCTCATAGGGACTTATGGATAACTTGGGGCCTGATGGACAGAGGTGCTCATAAGGACCTAATGGATAAGTTGGGGCCTGATGGACAGAGGTGCTCATAGGGACCTAATGGATAAGTTGGTTCCTGATGGACAGAGGTGCTCATAAGGGACTTATGGATAAAGCTGGGGCCCAATGGACAGAGCTGCTCATAGGGACCTAATGGATAAGTTGGGGCCTGATGGACAGAGGTGCTCATAGGGACCTAATGGATAAGTTGGGGCCTGATGGACAGAGGTGCTCATAAGGACCTAATAGATAAGTTGGGGCCTGATGGACAGAGGTGCTCATAGGGATCCAATGGAGAGGTTGGGGCCTGATGGACAGAGGTGCTCATAGGGACATAATGGATAAGCTGGTGCCTGATGGACAGAGGTGCTCATAGGGATCCAATGGAGAGGTTGGGGGGGTGAAGTGCTGATGGACAGAGGTGCTCATAGGGACCTAATGGATAAGTTGGGGCCTGATGGACAGAGGTGCTCATAGGGACCTAATGGATAAGTTGGGGCCTGATGGACAGAGGTGCTCATAGAGACCTAATGGATAAGGTGGGACCTGATGGACAGAGGTGCTCATAGGAACCCAATGGAGATGTTGGGGGGGCCTGATGGACAAAGATGCTCATGGGGATCCAATGGAGATGTTGTGGGGGAAGGGGACCTGATGGACAGAGGAGCTCGTAGGGACCCAATGGAGATGTTGGGGGGGCCTGATGGACAAAGATGCTCATGGGGGATCCAATGGAGATGTTGTGGGGGAAGGGGGGCTGATGGACAGAGGTGATCATAGGGATCCAATGGAGAGGTGGAGGGGACCTAAAAGACAGAGGAGCTCAAGGGGGACTCAGTGAAGATGTTGGGGGGGGGGGCTGATAAACAGAGGTGCTCATAGGGACCCAATGGAAAAGTTAGGGGGACCTGATGGACAGAGGAGCTCGTAGGGACCCAATGGAGATGTTGGGGGGGCCTGATGGACAAAGATGCTCATGGGGATGCAATGGAGATGTTGTGGGGGAAGGGGACCTGATGGACAGAGGAGCTCGTAGGGACCCAATGGAGATGTTGGGGGGGCCTGATGGACAAAGATGCTCTTGGGGATCCAATGGAGAGGTTGAGGGGACCTAAAAGACAGAGGAGCTCAAGGGGGACTCAGTGAAGATGTTGGGGGGGGGGGGCTGATGAACAGAGGTGCTCATAGGGATCCAATGGAGAGGTTGGGGGGCTGACGGACAAGGACCACTCATGGTTGGGGGTGGGATCCCTCTTTCTGCACTCAGGAACAATAATACAGACGTAGAGATGAAGCCTCTTTGTATTTCGGGGATTCTGTGGGACGTAGAGAGCTTTAGTCATCTTCTCTGCAGACGTCTGTTGGTGAATCATCTCAGTCGCTTGCTGTTCCAGTTGCCTCCAGCAGGGTGCACTGCAGATGATAGTTGATCTATTATGGATAGTTGATGTTCTAGCCAAGTGGTCTCCAAACTGCAGCCCAGCGGCCAGATGTTACCCTTTGCTTGCTCTTATCCAACCCTTGAGGAACGATTTCATCCACAGACACTAAAATAACCAGCATAATTCCCCCCACTGACACCACCAACGGGGCACAATTCCTCCTAGTGACACCAATGATGGGGCACCATGACACCAAAAATGGGGGATCATTTACTGCCACTGGTGCCAGGACATTTTTTTTTTTACTCTCAATGGCCGCAGTCCAGGATCCCCCCCCCCCCCCCCCCCAAAGTCTGAAAGACAGAAAACTGGCCCTTTGTTTAGAAAGTTTGGAGACCCCTGATCTAGCCAATCAGCAGACTTGATGGGAGAGGGGGGTCTGCTGGTGCATGCTGGGTGTGTTCTTAAACATTTGAGGCACTTCCTGGCACATGGTCTTGCCTCTCGGGTTTTGCCCAGTGTGGAGACAACTGTAACAGTGATCTTGCTCCCAGGCCTTTGGGTTGAAGCATCTGGGGTGCAGCAAGTATCTCCACTCCTGGGAGGAACCTTTGAAGTTGGTGGCTAGACTGGATGTTCTCCTTGTGCCTGGAGGAAGCTGAGGGCAGTTGTCCTCCACCATGGAGGTGATGAGTGACTGAGTACCATGGAAACTCTTCCAGGCCATCCTGCCTGGAATACGAAGACTGAGATCCCACTAGAACCCCAGTTTTCAAGGTGTCCAGTCTAGTCCTGCGAGAGAAGGACCCAGAAGGTTAGACAGACATGGAGAAGACCAGAGACCACATACAGATCTCCAGGTATCCCATACTCCTCCACCCTCTGTCCTTCATCCTGTCCTCAATGTACATGTGCAATAAATCTCCAAAGACCTCAACGGGTGCCCATCATTCTGAACATCCAGAGAGAAGAATCGCTCCGTGAGAAGATCGCACCTGGGACCTTATGGCCAATAAGTGGGCTTGGACCTTCCCAATGTACTTATTGATTGGCTGAAGATGAATATTTTTTGAGGATCAGTCACAATAGTGCTACACATGAAAGAAGAACTGTCTGTAGTCCTCCACAGGCCCCAATCATACCACCAACGTCCTATTCCCACCCAGCCCTGACTTCTTCTCCAGTCCCTCACCTGCTGCCGGCGTCTCTCTCGCAGCACACTCTGATGTAGAAGTTGCCCTCCTGATTGGCATCATAGGTGGAGGGCACAATGACGTACTCGCCCGCCGGCAGGTGTACCCGCATCGTCACCCCCCCGCGGCTGTTCTGTGGCTCTCCGGTGTCACACACGGGGCGATTCCTGGTGAAGAATCCGCGGTCCAGTCTGGGGCGAGACACCTAAAAAGGGTTCTGTGTTACCTTGGGGGAGCCGGGATTGGGGGGGGGGGGGTAGTCTCTAGGCCATGGCAATGGCAGAGGACCATGATGGGGGAGCCAGGATGGTGGAATTATGAGGGGCAGTGATGGGGGTTGGGAGGAGGAATGGTGGGATTATGGGGGGCAGTGATGGGGGTAGGGGAGGAGGAAGAGTGGGATTATGGGGGGCAGTGATGGGGGTTGGGAGGAGGAATGGTGTGGGATTATGGGGGGCAGTGATGGGGGGTTGGGGAGGAGGGATGGTGGGATAATGGGGGGCAGTGATGGGGAGGAGGAATGGTGGGATTATGGGGGGCAGTGATGGGTGTTAAGAAAGGAGGGATGGTGTTTTTATGGCGGCCAGTGATGGGGGTTGGGAGGAAGAATGGTGGGATTACGGGGGGCAGTCATGGGGGTTGGGAGGAGGAATGGTGGGATTACGGGGGGGCAGTGATGGGGGTTGGGAGGAGGAATGGTGAGATTATGGGGGGCAGTGATGGGGGTTGGGAGGAGGAATGGTGGGATTATGGGGGGCAGTGATGATGTTTGTGAGGAGGAATGGTGAGATTATGGGGGACAGTGATGGGGGTTGGGAGGAGGAATGGTGGGATTATGGGGGGCAGTGATGATGTTTGGGAGGAGGAATGGTGGGATTATGGGGGCAGTGATGGGGGTTGGGAGGAGGAATGGTGGGATTATGGGGGGCAGTGATGATGTTTGGGAGGAGGAATGGTGAGATTATGGGGGGCAGTGATGGGGGTTGGGGAGGAGGAATGGTGGGATTATGGGAGGCAGTGATGATGTTTGGGAGGAGGAATGGTGGGATTACGGTGGGCAGTGATGGGGGTTCGGGTGGAGGAATGGTGGGATTACGGGGGGCAGTGATGGGGTTTGGGAGGAGGAATGGTGATATTACGGGGGGCCAGTGATGGGGGTTGGGAGGAGGAATGGTGAGATTACGGGGGGCCAGTGATGGGGGTTGGGAGGAGGAATGGTGGGATTATGGGTGGCAGTGATGGGGGTTGGGAGGAGGAATGGGGAGATTATGGGGGTCAGTGATGGGGGTTGGAGGAGGAATGGTGGGATTATGGGGCCAGTGATGGGTGTTGGGGAGGAGGAATGGTGGGATTATGGGGGCCAGTGATGGGGTTGGGAGGAGGAATGGTGGGATTACGGTGGGCAGTGATGGGGGTTCGGGTGGAGGAATGGTGGGATTACGGGGGGCAGTGATGGGGTTTGGGAGGAGGAATGGTGAGATTACGGGGGGCCAGTGATGGGGGTTGGGAGGAGGAATGGTGAGATTACGGGGGGCCAGTGATGGGGGTTGGGAGGAGGAATGGTGGGATTATGGGTGGCAGTGATGGGGGTTGGGAGGAGGAATGGGGAGATTATGGGGGTCAGTGATGGGGGTTGGGAGGAGGAATGGTGGGATTATGGGGCCAGTGATGGGTGTTGGGGAGGAGGAATGGTGGGATTATGGGGGGCAGTGATGGGGGTTGGGGAGGAGGAATGGTGAGATTATGGGGGGCAGTGATGGGGGTTGGGAGGAGGAATGGTGAGATTATGGGGGCCAGTGATGGGGGTTGGGAGGAGGAATGGGTGGGATTATGGGGGGCAGTGATGGGGGTTGGCAGGAGGAATGGCGAGATTATCGGGGGCAGTGATGGGGGTTGGGAGGAGGAATGGTGGGATTACGGGGGGCAGTGATGGGGGTTGGGAGGAGGAAAGGTGGGATTACGGGGGGCAGTCATGGGGGTTGGGAGGAGGAATGGTGAGATTACGAGGAGCAGTGATGGGGGTTGGCAGGAGGAATGGTGAGTTTATGGGGGCAGTGATGGGGGGTTGGGAGGAGGAATGGTGGGATTATGGGGGCAGTGATGGGGGTTGGGAGGAGGAATGGTGAGATTACGTGAAGCAGTGATGGGGGTTGGGAGGAGGAATGGTGGGATTATGGGGGGCAGTGATGGGGGTTGGCAGGTGGAATGGTTAGATTATGGGGGGCAGTGATGGAGGTTGGGAGGAGGAATGGTGGGATTTATGGGGGCCAGTGATGGGGGTTGGGAGGAGGAATGGTGGGATTATGGGGCCAGTGATGGGGGTTGGGAGGAGGAATGGTGGGATTATGGGGCCAGTGATGGGGGTTGGGAGGAGGAATTGTGGGATTATGGGGGGGCAGTGATGGGGGTTGGGAGGAGGAATGGTGGGATTATGGGGCCAGTGATGGGGGTTGGGAGGAGGAATGGTGGGATTTATGGGGGCCAGTGATGGGGTTTGGGAGGAGGAATGGTGGGATTATGGGGGCAGTGATGGGGGTTGGGAGGAGGAATGGTGGGATTATGGGGGGCAGTGATGGGGGTTGGGAGGAGGAATGGTGGGATTATGGGGGGCAGTGATGGGGGTTGGGAGGAGGAATGGTGGGATTATGGGGGGCAGTGATGTGGGGTGGGAGGAGGAGATTATGGGGGCCAGTGATGGGGGTTGGGAGGAGGAATGGTGGGATTATGGGGCCAGTGATGAGGGTTGGGAGGAGGAATGGTGGGATTATGGGGGGCAGTGATGGGGGTTGGGAGGAGGAATGGTGGGATTATGGGGGGCAGTGATGGGGGTTGGGAGGAGGAATGGTGGGATTACGGGGGGCAGTGATGGGGGTTGGGAGGAGGAATGGTGGGATTACGGGGGGCCAGTGATGGGGGTTTGGAGGAGGAATGGTGGGATTATGGGGGCCAGTGATGGGGGTTGGGAGGAGGAATGGTGGGATTATGGGGGGCAGTGATGGGGGTTGGGAGGAGGAATGGTGAGATTACGGGGGGCCAGTGATGGGGGTTGGGAGGAGGAATGGTGGGATTATGGGGGCCAGTAATGGGGGTTGGGAGGAGGAATGGTGGAATTATGGGGGGCAGTGATGGGGGTTGGGAGGCGGAATGGTGGGATTATGGGGGCCAGTGATGGGGGTTGGGAGGAGGAATGGTGGGATTATGGGGGGCAGTGATGGGGTTGGGAGGAGGAATGGTGGGATTATGGGGGGCAGTGATGGGGGTTGGGAGGAGGAATGGTGGGATGATGGGGGTTGGGAGGAGGAATGGTGGGATTACGGGTGGCAGTGATGGGAGTTGGGAGGAGGAATGGTGGGATTATGGGGGGCAGTGATGGGGGTTGGGAGGAGGAATGGTGGGATGATGGGGGTTTGGAGGAGGAATGTGGGATGATGGGGGGCAGTGATGGGGGTTGGGAGGAGGAATGGTGGGATTATGGGGGGCAGTGATGGGGGTTGGGAGGAGGAATGGTGGGATTATGGGGGGGCAGTGATGGGGGTTGGGAGGAGGGAATGGTGGGATTATGGGGGGCAGTGATGGGGGTTGGGAGGAGGAATGGTGGGATGATGGGGGTTGGGAGGAGGAATGGTGGGATTATGGGGGGCAGTGATGGGGGTTGGGAGGAGGAGGAATGGTGGGATTATGGGGGGGCAGTGATGGGGGTTGGGAGGAGGAATGGTGGGATTATGGGGGGCAGTGATGGATGCGGGATAGAGGGGTGTTGGGGTGTAGGGTGTGTAATGGGCAGACTCGGCATGGAAGGAGGCGGGAGATGGAGGAATGTTGGGCCCCCCTCGGTTCTTACCAGATCTTGGGGTACCTGTTAATAAAAAGGTGAATTTGGTGTCATTCTCGGCCCACAGCCCATCCCCCGTCTCTTCTATCCACAATTCGGGATGAGAAGCTCCCTACCTGGTACAGGTGACATGCAATGTGCAGCTTCTGAGCTCCTCCGTCAGTCTGCATCAACTCCAACAAAACCCTCCAATGCTCATCCTGTTCATTGTTATGCCCCGCCTCTTGGTCTGAAGACCCGCCCACACGGAGCCGGAATTGGGGATTGTTGAAGAATGTTCCTGGAAGACGATACAGGCATGTGGTGTGACGGCGAGCACGGAACCCCACGGAACCCCACGGAACCCCACGGAACCCCAGTCTGGCCTGCCTGTGGTGGAGTATGGCCGGACCAAGCTGTGGATTCTGGACTTGTGGGGGGTTCTGATGGAAATGTTCATATTATGGACTCACTTAGTCTGCGACCCCCTCCAGCATTGACTCCGCGCTGCCAGCGACCCCGCAGGTGAGTGACCTCACAATGGGGGGAGTCCAGGTTGGTGTGACAGATGACCATCCAGGAGAAGAACGAGCAGAAATCCTCACACAGCATCCTACATGACCGAGAGAGGAGCATTGAACGGGGGACACCACCACTGACACCAACATGACCGAGAGAGGAGCATGGAATGGGGGACACCACCACTGACACCAACATGACCGAGAGAGGAGCATGGAATGGGGGACACCACCACTGACACCAACAACATGATGGAGAGAGGAGCATGGAATGGGGGACACCACCACTGACACCAACATGACGGAGAGAGGAGCATGGAATGGGGGACACCACCACTGACACCAACATGATGGAGAGAGGAATGTAGAATAGGAGACACCACCACTGACACCAACATGATGGAGAGAGGAGCATAGAATGGGGGACACCACCACTGACACCAACATGACGGAGAGAGGAGCATAGAATGGGGGACACCACCACTGACACCAACATGATGGAGAAAGGAATGTAGACTAGGAGACACCACCAGTGACCAATTGTATAATGACACCAGTCTGTAAGGGCCCCATCATCCTGGGACCAGGGGCCCAGCCATCCCCTCCAGAAGGAAGGTGTAAGAGGTCCCAGGGTCACCACCACACCACCAGGGGGGAAAACACAGAAAATGAATGTACAGCGGAGGATTCCTCCTCTATGCTGATTACCAGAACTCTCCGTCTTCCTTCTGCAGGTTGAGCTGCTTCTGCTCTTCATCTGACACCGACCGCCATTCCGGAGACCTGGAACCACATTTCAGGGTCAGTCATGTCTGCAATGACAACTGTCTGTGCTGCCTCCAGGCTCCGGGCAGATTTGACATTTTCAGAGAGTCTCATTGTTAGTACACAGAGGACCAATGTCCAGCCAACATGCTGAGTGGCCTCCACTGATGGAAGGACCCCGTGGTCTCCTTACTTATCGCTCCATGGGCCATTGTACTCAGTGAACCCCCATGGGTTCCTCAGGCGGATGAGGGTGACGTCCCCGGAGTCATGCTGGACCTGAAGGGGGAAGGAATGGTGGACAATGACTAGACCAAGCTGGTGGATCTCCCAGGATCCATGAAGACCAAACCAAAGTGGAGAGTCCAGCTCCATCAATGAGAGGAGCCAAGACCTCACCTCTGGAGACCAGGACTTCACGCTGGACTGGAGATGTGAAGACTTATGGACACTTACCTCCTTGGCTCCTAGTATGGAGTAGGCGTGACCCAGGACCAGCCCGTCCTCATTCACCTGTCCAACCTCACCATGTTCAGCCACCTTCCAGGAGATAAAGATGGAGAGATGAGCTCATGGAGGAGTGTCTGCAGTGTGATACACACAGTATATACCTCCATATACACCATACTGCCCCAAGTATTGTCCCCGCCCCCCAAATCATGTGATTCAGGTGTTCAATCCCCTCCATATCATGTGATTCAGGTGTTCCAATCCCCTCCATATCATGTGATTCAGGTGCTCCAATCCCCTCCCAATCATGTGATTCAGGTGCTCCAATCCCCTCCATATCATGTGATTCAGGTGTTCAATCCCCTCCATATCATGTGATTCAGGTGTTCCAATCCCCTCCATATCATGTGATTCAGGTGTTCCAATCCCCTCCATATCATGTGATTCAGGTGTTCAATCCCCTCCATATCATGTGATTCAGGTGTTCCAATCCCCTCCATATCATGTGATTCAGGTGTTCCAATCCCCTCCATATCATGTGATTCAGGTGTTCAATCCCCTCCATATCATGTGATTCAGGTGTTCATATCCCCTCCATATCATGTGATTCAGGTGTTCCAATCCCCCCCAAATCATGTGATTCAGGTGTTCAATCCCCTCCATATCATGTGATTCAGGTGCTCCAATACCCTCCCAATCATGTGATTCCGGTGTTCAATCCCCTCCATATCATGTGATTCAGGTGTTCAATCCCCTCCATATCATGTGATTCAGGTGTTCCAATCCCCTCCATATCATGTGATTCAGGTGTTCCAATCCCCTCCATATCATGTGATTCAGGTGTTCCAATCCCCTCCATATCATGTGATTCAGGTGTTCCAATCCCCTCCATATCATGTGATTCAGGTGTTCAATCCCCTCCATATCATGTGATTCAGGTGTTCAATCCCCTCCATATCATGTGATTCAGGTGTTCAATCCCCTCCATATCATGTGATTCAGGTGTTCAATCCCCTCCATATCATGATTCAGGTGTTCCAATCCCTTCCATATCATGTGATTCAGGTGTTCCAATCCCCTCCATATCATGTGATTCAGGTGTTCCAATCCCTTCCATATCATGTGATTCAGGTGTTCCAATCCCTTCCATATCATGTGATTCAGGTGTTTCAATCCCCTCCATATCATGTGATTCAGGTATTCCAATCCCCTCCATATCATGTGATTCAGGTGTTCCAATCCCCCTCCCAATCATGTGATTCAGTTGTTCCAATCCCCTCCATATCATGTGATTTGGGTGTTCCAATCCCCTCCATGGACACAGGTGTATACAATCAAGCCCCTAGGCATGCAGACGGCTTCTACAAACATTGGTGAAAGAATGGGTCGCTCTCAGGAGCTCAGTGACTCCAAGCGTGGTCCCGTGATAGGTGGTCACCTGGGCAATAAGTCCATCCGTGACATTTCCTGGCTACTAAATATTCCACCAACTGTTAGTGGGATTATAACAAAGTGGAAGCCACTGGGAACAACAGCCACTCTCAGCCACCAAGTGGTAGGCCACGTCACATGACAGGGCGGGGTCAGCGCATGCTGAAGCGCACAGTGCGCAGAAGTCACCAACTGTCTGCAGAGTCAATAGCTAAAGACCTCCAAACTTGGTGTGGCCTTCAGATGAGCCCAACAACAGTGCGTAGAGAGAGCTTCATGGAATGGGTTTCCATGGCCGAGCAGCTGCATCCAAGCCTTCCATCACCAAGTGCAATGCAAAGCATCGGATGCCGTGGTGTAAAGCACGCCGCCACTGGACTCTAGAGCAGAGGAGGCGTGTTCTCTGGAGGGACCAATCACGCTTCTCTGTCTGGCTTCCGATGGACGTGTCTGGGTTTGGCGGTGGCCAGGAGAACGGTACTTGCCTGACTGCATGGTGCCAAGTGTAAAGTTTGGTATGGGGGGGATTATGGTGTGGGGGTGTTTTTCAGGGGTTGGGCTTGGCCCCCTAGTTCCAGTGAAGAGAACTCTTAAGGTGACATTTTGGACAATTTCATGCCCCCAACTTTGTGGGAGGAGTTTGGGGATGGCCCCTTCCTGTTCCAACATGACTGCCCACCAGTGCACAAAGCAAGGTCCATAAAGACATGGAGGAGCCAGTTTGGGGTGGAGGAAACTTGACTGTCCTGCACAGAGTCCTGACCTCAACCCCATAGAACACTTTGGGATGAATTAGAGCGGAGACTGCGAGCCAGGCCTCCTCCCCCGACATCAGTGCCCCTCCCCCGACATCAGTGCCCCTCCCCCGACATCAGTGCCTGACCTGACAAATGTGCTTCTGGAAGAATGGTCCAACCTTCCCATAGACACCCTCCTAAACCTTGTGGACGGCCTTCCCAGAAGAGTTGAAGCTGTTATAGCTGCAAAGGGGGCGGGGCCAACCCAATATTGAACCCTACGGACTGAGACTGGGGGGCCATTAAAGGTCATGTGTGTGGAAAGGGCGGGGCCAACTCAATATTGAATCCTACAGACTAATGCAGGCCATAGACGGGGAGAAAAATGGCAGATTTTCTTTAAAAAAACGAAAAATCGGTCGTTCAAGCGGCCGACGTTACCATCAATGGTAAAAATAATCGGCCGATTTTTATCCCGTCTACAGCCGGCAAAAAGTGTCCCTGCAGAGCTCCGCTATTTCTCTGACAGTTCCTTCACATTTACAGCGATTGCAACAATGTATCTATTTGTATCCATTTAGGATACAGATGTTTTTATTCGGAAACAAATAGATACATTGTTACAACCGCTGTAAATGTCAGAGAAATAGCGGAGCTCTGCAGGGACACTTTTTGCCATACTGGAATTCCTCTAATTTTTCATCCTTCTTCTTCTTCTCCTGCTTCATCATCATCCTCTTCTTCTTCTTCTTCTTCTTCATCATCCTCTTCTTCTTTTTCTTCATCATCATCCTCTTCTTCTTTTTCTTGGTCATCATCATCCTCTTCTTCCTCTTCTTCTACTTCTTCATCATCATCCTCTTCTTCTTCTTCTTCTTCTTCTTCTTCATCCTCCTCCTCCTCTTCTTCTTCTACTTCTTCTTCCTCTTCATCATCATCATCATCATCATCTTCTTCTTCTTCTTCTACTTCTTCTTCCTCTTCATCATCTTCATCCCCTTCTTCTTCTTCTACTTCTTCTTCCTCTTCATCATCATCATCCTCTTCTTCTTCTACTTCTTCTTCCTCTTCATCATCTTCATCCTCTTCTTCTTCTTCTACTTCTTCTTCCCCTTCTTCATCATCATCCTCTTCTTCTTCTTCTTCCTCTTCATCATCATCCTCCTCTTCTTCTTCTTCTTCCTCTTCATCATCTTCATCCTCTTCTTCTTCTACTTCTTCTTCCTCTTCTTCATCATCATCCTCTTCTTCTTCTACTTCTTCTTCCTCTTCATCATCATCATCCTCTTCTTCTTCTTCTTCTTCTTCTACTTCTTCTTCCTCTTCATCATCTTCATCCTCTTCTTCTTCTTCTTCTTCCTCTTCATCATCATCCTCTTCTTCTACTTCTTCTTCCTCTTCATCATCATCATCCTCTTCTTCTTCTTCTACTTCTTCTTCCTCTTGATCATCATCATCCTCTTCTTCTACTTCTACTTCTTCTTCCTCTTCATCATCATCCTCCTCTTCTTCTACTTCTCCCTCTTCATCCTCTTCTTCTTCTTCTTTTTCTTCTTTTTGTCTTCCTCTTGCAGGTCACTGCTCATGCGCAGATTTTTTATCGGTAAAAAATCGGCCAATTAGCCCATTATTGCCGCGAAAATCGGCCGATTTTTTTCCAACTTTCCCGATTTAAAAAAACGGCCAAAATACCGAAAAACGGCCCAACAAATAGCCCACTAACGATCCGAAAATCGGCCGATTTTCGACCCATCTATGGCCTGCATAAGACTGGGGGGCCATTAAAGGTCATGTGTGTGGAAAGGGCGGGGCCAACTCAATATTGAACCCTACGGACTAAGACTGGGGGGCCATTAAAGGTCATGTGTGTGGAAAGGGCGGGGCCAACTCAATATTGGACCCTACGGACTAAGACTGGGGGGCCATTAAAGGTCATGTGTGTGGAAAGGGCGGGGCCAACTCAATATTGGACCCTACGGACTAAGACTGGGGGGCCATTAAAGGTCATGTGTGTGGAAAGGGCGGGGCCAACTCAATATTGAACCCTACGGACTAAGACTGGGGGGCCATTAAAGGTCATGTGTGTGGAAAGGGCGGGACCAACTCAATATTGAACCTTACGGACTAAGACTGGGGGGCCATTAAAGGTCATGTGTGTGGAAAGGGCGGGGGCCAATACTTGGGGCAATATGGTGTATATCTGCGGTGTGATGTATACGGTATATACCTCTATATAGCAGGCCATGGGGAAGCGGCTGTGTGCTGATTGGACGATCAGCTCCCAGGTCTCCTCGGGGGTGTGTCTGCTCAGGCTCAGCACCTCCGCCAGGCCGCCAGTGAAGTCCTCCAGAGCCTCCGGGATGGTTCCTCCTTGTAGAGCCAAATATCCTCCAGACACCCTGAGAACACGCTACATGTTACATGCCACTGCCGTGTTGTATGACAGGCGACAATGCAGCTGTATATGGGTGGTGGAGGTGTTGTGTAGTACACTGTATATGGGTGGTGGAGGTGTTGTGTAGTACATTGTATATGGGTGGTGGAGGTGTTGTGTAGTACATTGTATATGGGTGGTGGAGGTGTTTAGTAGTACACTGTATATGAGTGGTGGAGGGTGTTGTGTAGTACATTGTATATGGGTGGTGGAGGTGTTGTGTAGTACACTGTATATGGGTGGTGGAGATGTTTAGTAGTACACTGTATATGAGTGGTGGAGGTGTTGTGTAGTACATTGTATATGGGTGGTGGAGGTGTTTAGTAGTACACTGTATATGAGTGGTGGAGGTGTTGTGTAGTACATTGTATATGGGTGGTGGAGGTGTTGTGTAGTACACTGTATATGGGTGGTGGAGATGTTGTGTACTACATGGTACATGGGTGGTGGAGGTGTTTAGTAGTACACTGTATATGAGTGGTGGAGGTGTTGTGTAGTACATGGTATAGCGGACATACTTGGCATAGGCCTTCTCCAGCAGGGGGCTCCACATCTCCCCCCGGGTGTGGCTCTTGCTGTAGATCAGGACGTTGTTCTTCGTTGGGAGTTTATCATCGATGATCACATCCAGCCAATCACCGAACCGCCACAGCTGGGGGGACAGAGATCCGCACAGTCACCCCGATCCCGGGACCCCCCAATCCTGGGAACCGCCCAATACCGGGACCCCCCAATCCTGGGACCCCCCCGATCCCGGGACCCCCCCCAATCACTGAACCGCCACAGCTGGGGGGACAGAGATCCGCACAGTCACCCCGATCCCGGGACCCCCCAATCCTGGGAACCGCCCAATACCGGGACCCCCCAATCCTGGGACCCCCCCGATCCCGGGACCCCCCCAATCACTGAACTGCCACAGCTGGGGGGACAGAGATCCGCACAGTCACCCCGATCCCGGGACCCCCCCAATCCCGGGACCCCCCCAATCACCGAACCGCCACAGCTGGGGGGACAGAGATCCGCACAGTCACCCCGATCCCGGGACCCCCCAATCCTGGGAACCGCCCAATACCGGGACCCCCCAATCCTGGGACCCCCCCGATCCCGGGACCCCCCCCAATCACTGAACTGCCACAGCTGGGGGGACAGAGATCCGCACAGTCACCCCGATCCCGGGACCCCCCAATACCGGGACCCCCCCCGATCCCGGGACCCCCCCAATCACTGAACTGCCACAGCTGGGGGGACAGAGATCCGCACAGTCACCCCGATCCCGGGACCCCCCAATCCTGGGAACCGCCCAATACCGGGACCCCCCAATCCTGGGACCCCCCCGATCCCGGGACCCCCCCCAATCACTGAACCGCCACAGCTGGGGGGACAGAGATCCGCACAGTCACCCCGATCCCGGGACCCCCCAATCCTGGGAACCGCCCAATACCGGGACCCCCCAATCCTGGGACCCCCCCGATCCCGGGACCCCCCAATCACTGAACTGCCACAGCTGGGGGGACAGAGATCCGCACAGTCACCCCGATCCCGGGACCCCCCCAATACCGGGACCCCCCCCCGATCCCGGGACCCCCCCCCAATCACTGAACTGCCACAGCTGGGGGGACAGAGATCCGCACAGTCACCCCGATCCCGGGACCCCCCAATCCTGGGAACCGCCCAATACCGGGACCCCCCCCAATCCTGGGACCCCCCCTATCCCGGGACCCCCCCAATCACTGAACTGCCACAGCTGGGGGGACAGAGATCCGCACAGTCACCCCGATCCCGGGACCCCCCAATACCGGGACCCCCCAATCCTGGGAACCGCCCAATACCGGGACCCCCCAATCCTGGGACCCCCCCCGATCCCGGGGACCCCCCCAATCACTGAACTGCCACAGCTGGGGGGACAGAGATCCGCACAGTCACCCCGATCCCGGGACCCCCCCAATCCCGGGACCCCCCAATCCCGGGACCCCCCCCCGATCCCGGGACCCCCCCAATCACTGAACTGCCACAGCTGGGGGGACAGAGATCCGCACAGTCACCCCGATCCCGGGACCCCCCCAATCCTGGGAACCGCCCAATACCAGGACCCCCCAATCCTGGGACCCCCCCCGATCCCGGGACCCCCCCAATCACTGAACTGCCACAGCTGGGGGGACAGAGATCCGCACAGTCACCCCGATCCCGGGACCCCCCAATCCTGGGAACCGCCCAATACCGGGACCCCCCAATCCTGGGACCCCCCCGATCCCGGGACCCCCCCCCAATCACTGAACTGCCACAGCTGGGGGGACAGAGATCCGCACAGTCACCCCGATCCCGGGACCCCCCAATACCGGGACCCCCCAATCCTGGGAACCGCCCAATACCGGGACCCCCCAATCCTGGGACCCCCCCCCCCGATCCCGGGACCCCCCCAATCACTGAACTGCCACAGCTGGGGGGACAGAGATCCGCACAGTCACCCCGATCCCGGGACCCCCCAATCCCGGGACCCCCCAATCCCGGGACCCCCCCGATCCCGGGACCCCCCCAATCACTGAACTGCCACAGCTGGGGGGACAGAGATCCGCACAGTCACCCCGATCCCGGGACCCCCCAATCCCGGGACCCCCCCAATCACCGAACCGCCACAGCTGGGGGGACAGAGATCCGCACAGTCACCCCGATCCCGGGACCCCCCAATCCTGGGAACCGCCCAATACCGGGACCCCCCCAATCCTGGGACCCCCCCGATCCCGGAACCCCCCCAATCACTGAACTGCCACAGCTGGGGGGACAGAGATCCGCACAGTCACCCCGATCCCGGGACCCCCCCCAATCCTGGGAACCGCCCAATACCGGGACCCCCCAATCCTGGGACCCCCCCCGATCCCGGGACCCCCCCCAATCACTGAACTGCCACAGCTGGGGGGACAGAGATCCGCACAGTCACCCTGATCCCGGGACCCCCCAATACCGGGACCCCCCCAATCCTGGGACCCCCCGATCCAGGGACCCCCCCAATCACTGAACTGCCACAGCTGGGGGGACAGAGATCCGCACAGTCACCCCGATCCTGGGACCCCCCCAATACCGGGACCCCCCAATCCTGGGAACCGCCCAATACCGGGACCCCCCCCAATCCTGGGACCCCCCCGATCCCGGGACCACCCCAATCACTGAACTGCCACAGCTGGGGGGACAGAGATCCGCACAGTCACCCCGATCCCGGGACCCCCCCAATCCCGGGACCCCCCCAATCACCGAACCGCCACAGCTGGGGGGACAGAGATCCGCACAGTCACCCCGATCCCGGGACCCCCCAATACCGGGACCCCCCAATCCTGGGAACCGCCCAATACCGGGACCCCCCAATCCTGGGACCCCCCCCGATCCCGGGACCCCCCCAATCACTGAACTGCCACAGCTGGGGGGACAGAGATCCGCACAGTCACCCCGATCCCGGGACCCCCCAATCCTGGGAACCGCCCAATACCGGGACCCCCCAATCCTGGGACCCCCCCGATCCCGGGACCCCCCCCAATCACTGAACTGCCACAGCTGGGGGGACAGAGATCCGCACAGTCACCCTGATCCCGGGACCCCCCCCAATACCGGGACCCCCCAATCCCGGGACCCCCCCGATCCCGGGACCCCCCCAATCACTGAACTGCCACAGCTGGGGGGACAGAGATCCGCACAGTCACCCCGATCCCGGGACCCCCCAATCCTGGGAACCGCCCAATACCGGGACCCCCCAATCCTGGGACCCCCCCCGATCCCGGGACCCCCCCCCCCCCAATCACTGAACTGCCACAGCTGGGGGGACAGAGATCCGCACAGTCACCCCAATCCCGGGACCCCCCCCAATACCGGGACCCCCCAATCCCTGGACCCCCCCGATCCCGGGACCCCCCCCCAATCACTGAACTGCCACAGCTGGGGGGACAGAGATCCGCACAGTCACCCCGATCCCGGGACCCCCCCAATACCGGGACCCCCCAATCCCGGGACCCCCCCCCGATCCCGGGACCCCCCCAATCACTGAACCGCCACAGCTGGGGGGACAGAGATCCGCACAGTCACCTCGATCCCGGGACTCCCCAATACCAGGACCCCCCAATTCCGGGACCCCTGATCCCGGGACCCCCCAATTCCGGGACCCCTGATCCCGGGACCCCCCAATACCGGGACCCCCCAATCCTAAGAACCGCCCAATACCGGGACCCCCCAATCCTGGGACCCCCCAATCCTGGGAACCGCCCAATATCGGGACCCCCCGATCCCGGGCCCCATCCAATCCCCGGGACCCCCCCCCAATCACCGAACCGCCACAGCTGCCGGGACAGTCACCCCGATCCTGGGACCCCCCCCGATCCTGGGAACCCCCCCAATCCCAGGACCTCCCCAATCCCGGGACCCCCCCGATCTAGGGACCCCCCCAATCCCCAGACCCCCAATAGCGGGACCCCCTATCCTGGGAACCCCCCAATCACCAAACCGCCACAGCTGCCGGGGGACAGAGATCCGCACAGTCACCCCCATCCCGGGACCCCCCCCTATCCTGGGAACTGCCCAATCCTGGGACCCCCCCAATCCCGGGAACCGCCCAATCCCGGGACCCTCCCGATCCCGGGACCCACCCAATCCTGGAAAACCCCCCCAATCCCGGGAACCCCCCCAATCCTGGAAACCCCCCAATCCTGGGAACCGCCCAATCCTGGGAACCCCCCCAATCCCGGGAACCCCTCAACCCACCAGAACCCCTCAATCCCGGGAACCCGCCCAATCCCCGGAACCCCCCCTGAATACCAGGAACCCCTCAACCCCCACTAACAGGAACCCCTCAACCCCAAGAACCCCCCCAATCCCGGTAACCACCCCCAATCTCGGGAACCCCTCTACCCCGAAACCCCCAAATCCCGGGAACCCACCCAATCCCCGGAACCCCTGCAATCCCGGGACCCCCCCAATTCCGGGAACCGCCCCCAATCCCGGGATCCCCCAAATGCCGGGAACCCCCAACCCCCAGAACCCCCCAATCCTGGGAACCCGCCCAATCCCCAGAACCCCCCAATCTCGAGAACCCCCCAATCCCGGGAACTGCTCAATCCCGGGAACCGCCCAATCCCCGAAACCCAACTAAATACCAGTAACCCCCCCAATCCAGGGACCCCCTCAATCCTGGGAACCCCCCAATCCCAGGAACCGCCCAATCCTGGGAACCCCCCCAATCCCGGGACCCCCCTATCCCAGGATCCCCCCAATCCCGGGACCCCCCCAATTCTGGGAACCCCACAATCTCGTGACCCACCCAATCCCAGGAACCCCCCCATCCCGGGAACCGCCCAATCCTAGGAACCGCCCAATCCTGGGAACCCCTCCGATCCCGGGAACCCCCCCAATCCCGGAAACCACCCAATCCCGGGAACCCCTCAACCCCCCAGAACCCCCCAATCCTGGGAACCCACCCAATCCCTGGAACCCCCCCTCAATACCAGGATCCCCTCAATCCCAGGAACCCTCCCAGTCCTGGGAACCCCCCAATACCAGGAACCCCTCAATCCCGGAACCCCCCCCAATCCTGGGAACCCCCCACTACCAGGAACCCCTCAACCCCAAGAACCCCCAATCCCGGGAACCCACCCAATCCCGGAACCCCCCAATCTCAGGAACCCCTCAACCCCCAGAACCCCCCAATCCCGGGAACCCGCCCAATCCCCGGAACCGGCCCAATCCTGGGAACTGCCCCCAATCCCAGGACCCCCCCAATACCAAGAACCCCCCAACCCCCAGAACCCCCCAATCCTGGGAACCCGCCCAATCCCCGGACCCCCCCAATCCCCGGAACCCCCCGATTCCAAGAACCTCCCTCAATCCCGGGAACCGCCCAATCTCCGAGACCCAACTAAATACCAGGAACCCCCCCAATCCAGGGAACTCCTCAATCCCAGGAACGCCCCAATCCTGTGAACCCCCCAATCCCAGGAACCTTGGCCCCCCAAATTGCTCTGTGGATGATAGGAGCCAATTCTTTGTACCATTATGATTGTGACCCCTCCCTCCATTGTGCTGACCCCCCCCCCTCCATTGTGCTGACCCCTCCCCCATTGTGCTGACCCCTCCCCCATTGTGCTGACCCCTCCCTCCATTGTGCTGACCCCTCCCCATTGTGCTGACCCCTCCCTCTATTGTGCTGACCCCTTCTCCCATTGTGCTGACCCCCCCTCCATTGTGCTGACCCCTCCACCATTGTGCTGACCCCTCCCTTCATTGTGCTGACCCCCCCTCCATTGTGCTGACCCCTCCCCCATTGTGCTGACCCCTCCCTTCATTGTGCTGACCCCTCCCCCATTGTGCTGACCCCTCCCTCCATTGTGATGACCCCTCCCCCATTGTGCTGACCCCTCCCCCAGTGTGCTGCCCCTCCCCCCATTGTGCTGCCCCCCCCTCACCTTGAAGTGGAAGATCCCGCGGTATCCATGGCTCCGGCTGAAGGTCTGGTTCTCAGGGACGACCCGGGAGAAGAGTTGGGGGTGGAGGGTGAGTGACGTCATGGAGGAGAGGAGCCAGCAGTCCCCTGTGTGGGGGAGGGACACAGAACAGTCCATGAGGAGGTGGAGGTGGGCGGAGCATCGTGCACGCCTGTGATTGGAGGGATCAGGAGGGATCACATGATGCCCATAGGCAGGTGACATTACGTCACACATTGGGGGCGGGGCAGATGGAGTCCAGGCCGCTCCATTGGTTGTCACGCTCTGGCAGACGACGCGTTTTGGGGATGAGTCCCCCTTCATCAGGGCTGAGGGAAGGACCCCGAGGAGCCGCTGAGTCCCTGAAACGTCTGCCGGAGGTTCCTGTACATGAAATGAGCCTCCGAATGGCGGGAACTCCTCCTACACAACCTACAGGGTTCATCCAACATGGAGGATGAGGGGCCCCGCCGCTCCTGATAGAGGGACCCCCGCCGCTCCGGGACAACCGGGGACCCCGCCGCTCCTGATAGAGGGACCCCGCGCCGCTCCGGGACAACCGGGACCCCGCCGCTCCTGATAGAGGGACCCCGCCGCTCCGGGACAACCGGGGACCCCGCCGCTCCTGATAGAGGGACCCCGCCGCTCCGGGACAACCAGGGACCCCGCCGCTCCTGATAGAGGGACCCCGCCGCTCCTGGACAACCAGGGACCCCGCCGTTCATGATAGAGGGACCCCATCGCTCCGGGACAACCAAGGACCCCGCCGTTCCGGGACAACCAGGGACCCCGCCCCTCCGGGACAACCAGGGACCCCGCCGCTCCTGATAGAGGGACCCCGCCGCTCCGGGACAACCAGGGACCCCGCCGTTCCGGGACAACCAGGGACCCCGCCATTCTGGGACAACCAGGGACCCCCCCGCCATTCTGGGACAACCAGGGACCCCACCGTTCCGGGACAACCAGGGACCCCGCCGCTCATGATAGAGGGACCCCATCACTCCGGGACAACCAAGGACCCCGCCGTTCCGGGACAACCAGGGACCCCACCGCTCATGATAGAGGGACCCCATCACTCCGGGACAACCAAGGACCCCACCGTTCCAGGACAACCAGGGACCCCGCTGTTCCGGGATAACCAGGGACCCTGCCGTTCCGGGGCAACCAGGGACCCCGCCGCTGTGGGTCAACCAGGGACCCCGCCGCTCCTGATAGAGGGACCCCACCGCCCTGGGACATCCAGGGACCCCGCCGCTCCTGGACAACCAGGGACCCCGACCGCTCCGGGACAACCAGGGACCCCGCCGCTCCGGGACAACCAGGGACCCCGCCGTTCTGGGACAACCAGGGACCCCGCCGCTCATGATAGAGGGACCCCATCGCTCCGGGACAACCAGGGACCCCGCCGTTCCGGGACAACCAGGGACCCCGCCGCTCATGATAGAGGGACCCCATCGCTCCGGGACAACCAAGGACCCCCGCCGTTCTGGGACAACCAAGGACCCTGCCGTTCTGGGACAAGCAGGGACCCCGCCGTTCCGGGACAACCAGGGACCCTGCCGTTCCGGGACAACCAGGGACCGCGCCGCTCCTGATAGAGGGACCCCACCGTTCTGGGACAACCAGGGACCCCGCCGCTCCGGATAGAGGGACCCCACAGTTCTGGGACAACCAGGGACCCCGCCCGCTCCAGGACAACCAGGGACCCTGCCATTCTGAGACAGCCATCACCCCCCTCATCAGCTCATCCAGGCAGGGGCCGTGGATAAGGGGGTACCACCAGTCCTCCTGTACGGGGCCCAGGCCAGCAGGGGGGCCCAGGGAGCAGGGTGAATCTGGTGTGGGCAGGGAGGGTGATGAGTGTGCCGGGGGGGGGGGGGGGCAATTCCTGGAACCGATCCCCTGTATGGCTCCCCCTGCAGCAGCTGAAAGCCAGCGGGAGGGAGAGGAGAAGAAGCCGTCTGTCAGCTGCTGAGGAGCTGAGTGGGCTCTGTGCAGACGGGCGACTCACCCAACTCGCCCTGGCAGACGTCCGATGTACTCGCTCCGCTCTCTATGAACTGTGGATGGGAGCAGAACTCCTGTGGAGAGAAAGGGACGGTGTCAGTGACCTCTGACCAGATGGGGTTGATGACCTCTGACCTTAGACAGTGACCTCTGACCTAAGAACAGTGTCAGTGACCTCTGACCTTACACAGTGACCTCTGACCTCTCCTCTGGGAGAGTTCCTGTACTCTGAAGTCCCAGCCCAGTCACTACAAGGGGGCCCCACCATCCCTGCTGGAGAAGAAAACACTCAGGAGTAGCAGGAACTCCGATAGGAAGACCCCAGAACACGAGGCCAGAGGACCAACGACATCAGATGTGACAGCAGAAATGTCTGCCAGCAATTCTCTGATTGGTCATTGGAAGGATGGATGGAGAGAGAGAGAGGGATGGATGGATGGATGGATGGATGGGTAGATGGATGGATGGATGGGTAGATGGATGGATGGATGGATGGATGGGTAGAGGGATGGATGGATGGGTAGATGGATGGATGGATGGGTAGAGGGATGGATGGATGGGATGGATAGATGGGTGGATGGATGGATGGATGGATGGATGGGTAGATGGGAGGGATGGATGGGTAGATAGATGGATGGGTAGATGGATGGATGGAGAGAGGGATGGAGGGATGGATGGATGGATGGATGGGTAGATGGATGGATGGATGGGTGGGTGGATGGATGGATGGGTAGATGGAGGGATGGATGAGCAGATAGATGGATGGATGGAGAGAGGGATGGATGGAGAGAGGGATGGATGGATGGGTAGATGGATGGATGGGTAGATGGAGGGATGGGTAGATGGATGGATGGATGGATGGGTGGGTGGATGGATGGATGGATGGATGGAGAGAGGGATGGATGGAGGGATGGATGGATGGCAGGCCCGGATCTGGCCTGTGTGTGGGGGGGGGGCGCAGGGTCTGCAGACGGCCATTCCTGGATCCGATTACTAAGCTCCTCCCCTCTAATCAGTGCACCAGATTGTATGTAAGATTTGTATCTGCAGTGTGTGGTCAGCCCTCTGGATTGGAGTGGAGTCTCCCCCGGTGGTGGGCGGAGGTAGTGCGGGGTGTGGTCAGCCCTCTGGATTGTAGTGGAGTCTCCCCCGGTGGTGGGCAGAGGTAGTGCGGGTGTGGTCATCCCTCTGGATTGGAGTGGAGTCTCCCCCGGTGGTGGGCGGAGGTAGTGCGGGGTGTGGTCAGCCCTCTGGATTGTAGTGGAGTCTCCCCCGGTGGTGGGCGGAAGTAGTGTGGGGTGTGGTCAGCCCTCTGGATTGTAGTGGAGTCTCCCCCGGTGGTGGGCAGAGGTAGTGCGGGGTGTGGTCAGCCCTCTGGATTGGAGTGGAGTCTCCCCCGGTGGTGGGCGGAGGTAGTGCGGGGTGTGGTCAGCCCTCTGGATTGGAGTGGAGTCTCCCCCGGTGGTGGGCGGAGGTAGTGCGGGGTGTGGTCAGCCCTCTGGATTGTAGTGGAGTCTCCCCCCGGTGGTGGGCAGAGGTAGTGCGGGTGTGGTCATCCCTCTGGATTGGAGTGGAGTCTCCCCCGTTGGTGGGCGGAGGTAGTGCGGGGTGTGGTCAGCCCTCTGGATTGGAGTGGAGTCTCCCCCGGTGGTGGGCGGAGGTAGTGCGGGGTGTGGTCAGCCCTCTGGATTGGAGTGGAGTCTCCCCCGGTGGTGGGCGGAGGTAGTGCGGGGTGTGGTCAGCCCTCTAGATTGGAGTGGAGTCTCCCCCCGGTGGTGGGCAGAGGTAGTGCGGGGTGTGGTCAGCCCTCTGGATTGTAGTGGAGTCTCCCCCCGGTGGTGGGCAGAGGTAGTGCAGGGTGTGGTCAGCCCTCTGGATTGTAGTGGAGTCTCCCCCGGTGGTGGGCGGAGGTAGTGCGGGGTGTGGTCAGCCCTCTGGATTGTAGTGGAGTCTCCCCCGGTGGTGGGCGGAGGTAGTGCAGCTGTGGAAGGATCTCCCGGCTGGTCTTATATACGGATTATATATCAGAGTTCAGTCCCCTTTATTCCCTCGTTACCCCAAGTCACCGCCCCACGTGTGCGCCTCGGATAGCTAGTCACTGGGGGCGGGGCATGTGGGGGATCCGTGACAGGGGGGAGGAAGAAGAGAGAGGGGGGAGGATTGAGAAATATTTTGGACCCACAATGATCTTCCCAAGATTGGTAAACTGTGATGGGGGCGGAGTCTGACTCCTGATTCATCTGCCCCCCCCCCCCCCCCAGGTGATTCCTGACACCTCCTCCCGGGGGGGAAGTTGTCGTGGCTCTCGGTGACATGGGGGGGCGGTAATGCTGAGCTGCACATCATGCGATCATACATCCCGTCTGCTGAGTTGCAGTTGGCCGATACTTCCTTTCATAGGACCTCACAGTTCTGGTTTTATTGGACCCTCGTGTAGTTGAGCCATGATTTTCTCGCCCCCCCCCCCCCCCCCGGGATACGCAGTTCGATGGGAAGACATCCCCGGAGGGACACGCTGCGGGGCGTGGATGGATGGATGGTCGGGTGGATGGATGGATGGTCAGGTGGATGGATGGATGGTCAGGTGGATGGATGGATGGATGGTCGGGTGGATGGATGGATGGTCGGGTGGATGGATGGAGGGATGGATGGACGAGTGGATGGATGGATGGATGGGTGGATGGATGGATGGTCGGGTGGATGGATGGATGGATGGACGGGTGGATGGATGGATGGTCGGGTGGATGGATGGATGGTCGGGTGGATGGATGGATGGATGGGTGGATGGATGGATGGTCGGGTGGATGGATGGATGGTCAGGTGGATGGATGGACGGGTGGATGGATGGATAGTCGGGTGGATGGATGGATAGTCGGGTGGATGGATGGATGGACGGGTGGATGGATGGATGGTCGGGTGGATGGATGGATGGTCGGGTGGATGGATGGATGGATGGATGGTCGGCTGGATGGATGGATGGATGGGTGGATGGTCGGGTGGATGGATGGATGGTCAGGTGGATGGATGGACGGGTGGATGGATGGATAGTCGGGTGGATGGATGGATAGTCGGGTGGATGGATGGATGGACGGGTGGATGGATGGTCGGGTGGATGGATGGATGGTCGGGTGGATGGATGGATGGACGGATGGATGGTCGGGTGGATGGATGGATAGTCGGGTGGATGGATGGATGGACGGATGGATGGTCGGGTGGTGGATGGATGGATGGACGGGTGGACGGGTGGATGGATGGATGGATGGTCGGGTGGATGGATGGATGGATGGACGGGTCAGACTTCTCCATCCACAGAACATTCTCTGATTCGCAGACTTACCGGAGGACGCCTCCACTCCACACCCGGAATGTTCTGAGGAAACTTCTCGTCATCAAACAGATCTTCCCGACACCCAGCATGGAGCGCCTGGAAATCCTGAGCTGCAGACATCTATAGAGAGGGATGGACGGATGGATGGATGGATGGATGGATGGATGGACGGGATGGATGGATAGATGGAGGGACGGATGGATGGACGGATGGATGGACAACGGACGGATGGAAGGACGGATGGATGGATGGAAGGACGGATGGACGGATGGCGTCTCCCAGTCGGTGACCCTATATAGGGACGGGGTGGGTGGGGACGCACGGGCTCGGTGTACTCAGGGATCAGGACATGTAGACATAGTGGGGGTGACACCCGCTGTACAAAGTACGGATTGTTCTCTCTGCTGAGTCACTCATAGAATGTTCCGGGTCACACCAGAGTCTTACCTGCATGAACCGTCCAATCACATCCCAGCTCAGTGAGGGGGGGGGATGGAGGAGCTCAGTGATGGGGGGATGGAGGAGCTCAGTGATGGGGGATAGAGGAGCTCAGTGATGGGGGAGGGAGGAGCTCAGTGATGGGGGAGGGAGGAGCTCAGTGATGGGGGGATGGAGGAGCTCAGTGATGAGGGGGATGGAGGAGCTCAGTGATGGGGGATGGAGGAGCTCAGTGATGGGGGGATGGAGGAGCTCAGTGATGGGGGATGGAGGAGCTCAGTGATGGGGGATGGAGGAGCTCAGTGATGAGGGATGGAGGAGCTCAGTGATGGGGGAGGGAGGAGCTCAGTGATGGGGGGATGGAGGAGCTCAGTGATGGGGGATGGAGGAGCTCAGTGATGGGGGAGGGAGGAGCTCAGTGATGGGGGGATGGAGGAGCTCAGTGATGGGGGGGATGGAGGAGCTCAGTGATGAGGGATGGAGGAGCTCAGTGATGGGGGGATGGAGGAGCTTAGTGATGGGGGGATGGAGGAGCTCAGTGATGGGGGGATGGAGGAGCTCAGTGATGGGGGGGATGGAGGAGCTCAGTGATGAGGGATGGAGGAGCTCAGTGATGGGGGAGGGAGGAGCTCAGTGATGGGGGGATGGAGGAGCTCAGTGATGGGGGATGGAGGAGCTCAGTGATGGGGGAGGGAGGAGCTCAGTGATGGGGGGATGGAGGAGCTCAGTGATGGGGGATGGAGGAGCTCAGTGATGGGGGGATGGAGGAGCTCAGTGATGGGGGGGATGGAGGAGCTCAGTGATGAGGGATGGAGGAGCTCAGTGATGGGGGAGGGAGGAGCTCAGTGATGGGGGGATGGAGGAGCTCAGTGATGAGGGATGGAGGAGCTCAGTGATGAGGGATGGAGGAGCTCAGTGATGGGGGGATGGAGGAGCTCAGTGATGGGGGGATGGAGGAGCTCAGTGATGAGGGATGGAGGAGCTCAGTGATGGGGGGATGGAGGAGCTCAGTGATGGGGGATGGAGGAGCTCAGTGATGGGGGAGGGAGGAGCTCAGTGATGGGGGGGATGGAGGAGCTCAGTGATGAGGGATGGAGGAGCTCAGTGATGGGGGGGATGGAGGAGCTCAGTGATGAGGGATGGAGGAGCTCAGTGATGGGGGGATGGAGGAGCTCAGTGATGAGGGATGGAGGAGCTCAGTGATGGGGGAGGGAGGAGCTCAGTGATGGGGGGATGGAGGAGCTCAGTGATGGGGGATGGAGGAGCTCAGTGATGGGGGAGGGAGGAGCTCAGTGATGGGGGAGGGAGGAGCTCAGTGATGGGGGGATGGAGGAGCTAAGTGATGGGGGGGATGGAGGAGCTCAGTAATGAGGGATGGAGGAGCTCAGTGATGGGGGAGGGAGGAGCTCAGTGATGGGGAATGGAGGAGCTCAGTGATGGGGGGATGGAGGAGCTCAGTGATGGGGGGGATGGAGGAGCTCAGTGATGGGGGATGGAGGAGCTCAGTGATGGGGGGGGATGGAGGAGCTCAGTGATGGGGGGATGGAGGAGCTCAGTGATGGGGGAGGGAGGAGCTCAGTGATGAGGGAGGGAGGAGCTCAGTGATGAGGGAGGGAGGAGCTCAGTGATGGGGGGATGGAGGAGCTCAGTGATGGGGGGGATGGAGGAGCTCAGTGATGGGGGAGGGAGGAGCTCAGTGATGAGGGATGGAGGAGCTCAGTGATGGGGGAGGGAGGAGCTCAGTGATGGGGGGAGGGAGGAGCTCAGTGATGGGGGATGGAGGAGCTCAGTGATGGGGGGAGGGAGGAGCTCAGTGATGGGGGAGATGGAGGAGCTCAGTGATGGGGGGATGGAGGAGCTCAGTGATGGGGGGATGGAGGAGCTCAGTGATGGGGGGAGGGAGGAGCTCAGTGATGAGGGAGGGAGGAGCTCAGTGATGGAGGAGCTCAGTGATAGGGGAGGGAGAAGCTCAGTGATGAGGGAGGGAGGAGCTCAGTGATGGGGGAGGGAGGAGCTCAGTGATGAGGGATGGAGGAGCTCAGTGATGAGGGAGGGAGGAGCTCAGTGATGGGGGAGGGAGGAGCTCAGTGATGGTGGAGGGAGGAGTACAGGTATAACCCCACAGTAGTGAGGTCACAGTCCCGTAGTATACAGATAAAACCATGTAGTAACCCTTTGCTGACCTCTACCATGCCCCGCCCACCTCATGACCACCAATCATCTCACAGAGCCAAAGAGTTCAAATAAAAAACCTTTATTTTCATTATAAGATCCCAAAAACTGAACTCTGAAATAAGAACTGTGTGAGTTGCTTTATTAAGGTGACTGTGATTGCATTCCTGTGCAGCCCATCTGCTTGTGTCTGAACCGCGGGGGCGTGTCCTGCTCCTGGCTCCACCCATCATGACTTTGTGCTGAGGAGAGATCCAAGGGGGCGGGCCTCAGTCTTTCTTAGTTCCTTGTTTCTTCAGCTGAGCTCGAAATCTGAGGAAGGAGAAACATTGTCAGTCCAATGTGTGATGTCATAGCGGTGTGGGAGGGGATTGTCCCGAGTCTGATGTGTGATGTCATAGCGGTGTGGGAGGGGATTGTCCCGAGTCTGATGTGTGACATCATAGCGGTGTGGGAGGGGATTGTCCCGAGTCTTATGTGTGACGTCATAGCGGTGTGGGAGGGGATTGTCCCGAGTCTGATGTGTGACGTCATAGCGGTGTGGGAAGGAATTGTCCCGAGTCTGATGTGTGACGTCATAGCGGTGTGGGAGAGAATTGTCCCGAGTCTGATGTGTGACTTCATAGCGGTGTGGGAGAGAATCGTCCCGAGTCTGATGTGTGACGTCATAGCGGTGTGGGAGGGGATTGTCCCGAGTCTGATGTGTGATGTCATAGCGGTGTGGGAGGGGATTGTCCCGAGTCTGATGTGTGACGTCATAGCGGTGTGGGAGGGGATTGTCCCGAGTCTGATGTGTGACGTCATAGCGGTGTGGGAGGGGATTGTCCCGAGTCTGATGTGTGACGTCATAGCGGTGTGGGAGAGAATTGTCCCGAGTCTGATGTGTGACTTCATAGCGGTGTGGGAGAGAATCGTCCCGAGTCTGATGTGTGACGTCATAGCGGTGTGGGAGGGGATTGTCCCGAGTCTGATGTGTGATGTCATAGCGGTGTGGGAGGGGATTGTCCCGAGTCTGATGTGTGACGTCATAGCGGTGTGGGAGGGGATTGTCCCGAGTCTGATGTGTGACGTCATAGCGGTGTGGGAGGGGATTGTCCCGAGTCTGATGTGTGACGTCATAGCGGTGTGGGAGGGGGATTGTCCCGAGTCTGATGTGTGACGTCATAGCGGTGTGGGAGGGGATTGTCCCGAGTCTGATGTGTGACGTCATAGCGGTGTGGGAAGGAATTGTCCCGAGTCTGATGTGTGACGTCATAGCGGTGTAGGAGGGGATTGTCCCGAGTCTGATGTGTGACGTCATAGCGGTGTAGGAGAGAATTGTCCCGAGTCTGGATGTGTGACGTCATAGCGGTGTGGGAAGGAATTGTCCCGAGTCTTATGTGTGACGTCATAGCGGTGTGGGAGGGGATTGTCCCGAGTCTGATGTGTGACGTCATAGCGGTGCGGGAGGGGATTGTCCCGAGTCTGATGTGTGACGTCATAGCGGTGTGGGAGGGGATCGTCCCGAGTCTGATGTGTGACGTCATAGAGGTGTGGGAGGGAATCGTCCCGAGTCTGATGTGTGACGTCATAGCGGTGTGGGAGGGGATTGTCCCGAGTCTGATGTGTGACGTCATAGCGGTGTGGGAGGGGATTGTCCCGAGTCTGATGTGTGACGTCATAGCGGTGTGGGAGGGGATTGTCCCGAGTCTTATGTGTGACGTCATAGCGGTGTGGGAGGGGATTGTCCCGAGTCTGATGTGTGACGTCATAGCGGTGTGGGAGGGAATCGTCCCGAGTCTGATGTGTGACGTCATAGCGGGTGTGGGAGGGGATTGTCCCGAGTCTGATGTGTGACGTCACAGCGGTGTGGGAGGGAATCGTCCCGAGTCTGATGTGTGACGTCATTGTCCCGAGTCTGATGTGTGACGTCATAGCGGTGTGGGAGGGGATCGTCCCGAGTCTGATGTGTGACGTCATAGCGGTGTGGGAGGGGATTGTCCCGAGTCTGATGTGTGACGTCACAGCGGTGTGGGAGGGAATCGTCCCGAGTCTGATGTGTGACGTCATAGCGGTGTGGGAGGGGATTGTCCCGAGTCTGATGTGTGACGTCATAGCGGTGTGGGAGGGGATTGTCCCGAGTCTGATGTGTGACGTCATAGTGGTGTGGGAGGGGATCGTCCCGAGTCTGATGTGTGACGTCATAGCGGTGTGGGAGGGGAGACCCCAGAAGGGGTTCTGCACACAGCGGTGGGGGGAGGGGGGTTGCCCTGCAGACTATGACTACTTATCTCTGAGGGGCGGAGCTTCCCATCCATAAGTCTCCCAGAGGGAGCTGTACTGACCTCTAGTGGCCGAGCTGCACCCCCCCCCCCCCCCCCCTCAGCACCGCGGGCCCCCCGCCCCCATCACCGGAGTCACCAATACAAATCCGGGACAGATCAGTAAATGTCTTACTTGGCTCTGAAGGCGGAAACCCGGCTGGTAACCATGGAGACGTATCGATCGACCAGAACCTGCAGAACGATGATCAGTCCATAATAATGGACACACAGAGAGACACACTCCATGCATCTCTCTGTCCTCCCACACACTCCATGCATCTCTATGTCCTCCCACACACTCCATGCATCTCTATGTCCCGCAACACACTCCATGCATCTCTATGTCCTCCCACACACTCCATGCATCTGTCTGTCCTCCCGCACACTCCATGCATCTGTCTGTCCTCCCGCACACTCCATGCATCTCTATGTCCCGCAACACACTCCATGCATCTCTATGTCCTCCCGCACACTCCATGCATCTCTCTGTCCTCCCACACACTCCATGCATCTCTCTGTCCTCCCACACACTCCATGCATCTGTCTGTCCTCCCGCACATTCCATGCATCTCTATGTCCCGCAACACACTCCATGCATCTCTATGTCCTCCCGCACACTCCATGCATCTCTCTGTCCTCCCACACACTCCATGCATCTCTTTGTCCCGCAACACACCCCATGCATCTCTCTGTCCTCCCGCACACTCCATGCATCTCTCTTTCCTCCCGCACACTCCATGCATCTCTCTGTCCTCCCACACACTCCATGCATCTCTCTGTCCTCCCGCACACTCCATGCATCTCTCTGTCCCACAACACACTCCATGCATCTCTCTGTCCCACAACACACTCCATGCATCTCTGTCCTCCCGCACACTCCATGCATCTCTCTGTCCTTTTCGCACACTCCATGCATCTCTCTGTCCCGCAACACACTCCATGCATCTCTCTGTCCCGCAACACACTCCATGCATCTCTCTGTCCCGCAACACACTCCATGCATCTCTGTCCCACAACACACTCCATGCATCTCTCTGTCCCCCTCTGCACACTCCATGCATCTCTCTGTCCTCCCGCACACTCCATGCATCTCTCTGTCATCCCGCACACTCCATGCATCTCTATGTCCTCCCGCACACTCCATGCATCTCTCTGTTTTATAGCACTTACCTGGTTGTGTTTGTAAATGACGGGAAATGTGAACGATCCGATCACACCTGAGAGAGAGACAGTCATCATCATCATCCTCCTCCTCATCATCATCCTCCTCATCATCATCCCCCTCCTCCTCATCCTCATCATCATCCCCCTCCTCCTCATCATCATCCCCCCCTCCTCCTCATCATCATCCCCCTCCTCCTCATCATCATCCCCCTCCTCCTCATTATCCCCCTCCTCCTCCTCATCATCATCCCCCTCTTCCCCATCCCCCTCCCCCTCTTCCCCATCCCCCTCCTCTCCCCCCTCCTCATCATCATCAGAGGGCTCATGGGGGGGAGGGGAGGAAGTCTGCTGACCTCAGAGGGCTCATGGGGGGAGGGGAGGAAGTCTGCTGACCTCAGAGGGCTCATGGGGGGAGGGGAGGAAGTCTGCTGACCTCAGAGGGCTCATGGGGGAGGACCAGTGATGATAGATAATAGGAAAGGCTATGCTCCAATCGGAATGTACATCCTGTGTATAGACACTCCCTATACATTGTTCTGTGGGAGGGGATTGACCTGACTCATGTGGGGGGCGTGTGTGTGTTTGTAAATAAATGGGAGGTTGGGGTTGGACCCGCCTCTTGGTGCATTCCAACATCATCCTGAGAGTGTCATGTGATCATTCCAGGTACCGGAGCTCCACCCCCCACATCTATAGATGGTACCCCAGTTGGAGGCGCAGGAATGGTGGAGTTTAGCTGCAGTTGTGGTCAGTGAGAGTCGCACAGCATTATGGGGGATTTCTGCCATCCAATGGCGAGTGCTCACAGGAAGGAGACATTCGTTACAGCCAATTTCCAAGACATCCTCCCCCTCCAGGTATCTTGGATCTGATTGGTCCTCTGGTGCTGTCAGGTCTGTAGGGGTGACATGCAGTGAAGGGGATTGTACTGTCAGGACTCGGGGTGATCAGTGCCAGGCTGACAGTGGGGGGTGTAGGGACCACCATCCCTACAGAGGGGACACCAATCCATGCAGCCTGGGGGGGGGTCGTGTGACTGTCCTTCCATCCTGGGGGGGTTGTGTGACTGTCCTTCCATCCTGGGGGGGGGGTCATGTGACTGTCCTTCCATCCTGGGGAGGTCGTGTGACTGTCCTTCCATCTTGGGGGGGGGGGGGGGGGGGTCATGTGACTGTCCTTCCATCCTGGGGGGGGGGGGGGGGTCATGTGACTGTCCTTCCATCCTGGGGGGGGTCATGTGACTGTCCTTCCACCCTGGGGGGGGGGTCATGTGACCGTCCTTCCATCCTGGGGGGGGTCATGTGACTGTCCTTCCATCCTGGGGGGGGTCGTGTGACTGTCCTTCCATCCTGGGGGGGGGGTCGTGTGACTGTCCTTCCATCCTGGGGGGGGGGGGGTCATGTGACTGTCCTTCCATCCTGGGGGGGTCGTGTGACTGTCCTTCCATCCTGGGGGGGGGGTCATGTGACTGTCCTTCCATCCTGGGGGGGGGGTCATGTGACTGTCCTTCCATCCTGGGGGGGGTCATGTGACTGTCCTTCCATCTTGGGGGGGGGGGGGTCATGTGACTGTCCTTCCATCCTGGGGGGGGTCATGTGACTGTCCTTCCATCCTGGGGGGGGGGGGGGGTCATGTGACTGTCCTTCCATCCTGGGGGGGTCGTGTGACTGTCCTTCCATCTTGGGGGGGGTCATGTGACTGTCCTTCCATCCTGGGGGGGGGGGGGTCATGTGACTGTCCTTCCATCCTGGGGGGGGGGTCATGTGACTGTCCTTCCACCCTGGGGGGGGGGTCATGTGACTGTCCTTCCACCCTGGGGGGGGGGGGTCATGTGACCGTCCTTCCATCCTGGGGGGGGTCATGTGACTGTCCTTCCATCCTGGGGGGGTCATGTGACTGTCCTTCCATCCTGGGGGGGGTCATGTGACTGTTCCTTCCATCCTGGGGGGGGTCATGTGACTGTCCTTCCATCCTGGGGGGGGTCATGTGACTGTCCTTCCATCCTGGGGGGGGGGGTCATGTGACTGTCCTTCCATCCTGGGGGGGTCATGTGACTGTCCTTCCATCTTGGGGGGGGTCATGTGACTGTCCCTTCCATCCTGGGAGGGGGGGTCATGTGACTGTCCTTCCATCCTGGGGGGGGGGGGGTCGTGTGACTGTCCTTCCATCTGGGGGGGGGGGGTCATGTGACTGTCCTTCCATCCTGGGGGGGGGGGGGGTCATGTGACTGGGGGGGGGGGGTCATGTGACTGTCCTTCCATCCTGGGGGGGGGGGGGGGGGGGTCATGTGACTGTCCTGGGGGGGGGGGGGGGGGGGGGGGGGGTCATGTGACTGTCCTTCCATCCTGGGGGGGGGGTCATGTGACTGTCCTTCCATCCTGGGGGGGGGGGGGGTCATGTGACTGTCCTTCCATCCTGGGGGGGGGGGGTTCATGTGACTGTCCTTTCCATCCTGGGGGGGGGGGGGTTCATGTGACTGTCCTTCCATCCTGGGGGGGGGGGGGTCATGTGACTGTCCTCCATCCACTGTCCTTCCTGGGGGGGGGGTCATGTGACTGTCCTTCCATCCTGGGGGGGGGGGGGGGTCATGTGACTGTCCTTCCATCCTGGGGGGGGGGGGGGTCATGTGACTGTCCTTCCATCCTGGGGGGGGGGGGGTCATGTGACTGTCCTTCCATCCTGGGGGGGGGGGGTCATGTGACTGTCCTTCCATCCTGGGGGGGGGGGGTCATGTGACTGTCCTTCCATCCTGGGGGGGGGGGTCATGTGACTGTCCTTCCATCCTGGGGGGGGGGGGGGGGGGGGTCATGTGGGGGGGGGGGGGTCATGTGACTGTCCTTCCATCCTGGGGGGGGGGGGGGGTCATGTGACTGTCCTTCCATCCTGGGGGGGGGGGTCATGTGACTGTCCTTCCATCCTGGGGGGGGGGTCATGTGACTGTCCTTCCATCCTGGGGGGGGGGGGGGTCATGTGACTGTCCCTTCCATCCTGGGGGGGGGGGGGGGTCATGTGACTGTCCTTCCATCCTGGGGGGGGGGGGTCATGTGACTGTCCTTCCATCCTGGGGGGGGGGGGTCATGTGACTGTCCTTCCATCCTGGGGGGGGGGGTCATGTGACTGTCCTTCCATCCTGGGGGGGGGGGTTCATGTGACTGTCCTTCCATGGGGGGGGGGGGGGGTTCATGTGACTGTCCTTCCATCCTGGGGGGGGGGGGGTCATGTGACTGTCCTTCCATCCTGGGGGGGGGTCATGTGACTGTCCTTCCATCCTGGGGGGGGGGGGTCATGTGACTGTCCTTCCATCCATCCTGGGGGGGGGTCATGTGACTGTCCTTCCATCCTGGGGGGGGGTCATGTGACTGTCCTTCCATCCTGGGGGGGGGTCATGTGACTGTCCTTCCATCCTGGGGGGGGGGTCATGTGACTGTCCTTCCATCCTGGGGGGGGGGGGTCATGTTTGACTGTCCTTCCATCCTGGGGGGGGGGGGGGGTCATGTGACTGTCCTTCCATCCTGGGGGGGGGGGGGGGGGGGGGGGGGGGGTCATGTGACTGTCCTTCCATCCTGGGGGGGGGGGGTCATGTGACTGTCCTTCCATCCTGGGGGGGGGGGGGGGGTCATGTGACTGTCCTTCCATCCTGGGGGGGGGGGGGTCATGTGACTGTCCTTCCATCCTAGGGGGGGGGGGGGGTCATGTGACTGTCCAGCAGGGGGCTCACCTAGAACCAGCAGGGTGAGTCCGTTGAGCGCGGCCCCGACGTAGGTGAGGAGGTAGAGGAGGACCAGGAACTGCAGGAGAGAGGAGAGTCATCATACATGGTGCACATCACTGCCCCCCCACCTGGCACTGCGATCCCTACCCCCCCCCCCCCACCTGGCACTGCGATCCCTACCCCCCCCCCCACCTGGCACTGCGATCCCTACCCCCCCCCCCACCTGGCACTGCGACCCCTGCCCCCCCACCTGGCACTGCGACCCCTGCCCCCCCACCTGGCACTGCGATCCTTTCCCCCCACACCTGGCAGTGTGACCCCTGACCCCCCCCCCCCCCCCCCACCTGGCACTGCGATCCCTGCCCCCCTCACCTGGCACTGCGATCCCTGCCCCCCCCCACTGCAATCTCTGCTTCCCACCTGGCAGTGCGATCCCTGCCCCCCCACCTGGCAGTGCGATCCCTGCCCCCCCACCTGGCAGTGCGATCCCTGCCCCCCCCCACCTGGCAGTGCGATCCCTGCCCCCCCACCTGGCAGTGCGATCCCTGCCCCCCCACCTGGCAGTGCGATCCCTGCCCCCCTGCACCATCCGGATCTCTCTTACCTTCAAGGACTCCTTTGTGTTCCTCACCAGGAAGAGGCTGTGCAGTGTGGAGAGAGCGCTGAGGAAGAGCAGAGCCAACCGCGCCGCCACCGCGTCCACCTGCAGTGCTGGGAGGAGGGGCTCCGCGTCCAGGTACTTCCTGAGAGACAATGTACCCCAAAATGTACATCTCCAAATACCGCACTGCACCCCAACATACACACTGCACCCCCCAATATACACTGCACCCCCCAATATACACACTGCACCCCAACATACACACTGCACACCCTAATATACACACTGCACCCCCAATATACACACTGCACCCCCCAATATACACACTGCACCCCCCAATATACACACTGCACCCCAACATACACACTGCACCCCCCAATATACACACTGCACCCCAACATACACACTGCACACCCTAATATACACACTGCACCCCCCAACATACACACTGCACCCCCCAACATACACACTGCACCCCCCAATATACACTGCACCCCCCCAATATACACACTGCACCCCAACATACACACTGCACACCCTAATATATACACTGCACCCCCCAATATACACACTGCACCCCCCAACATACACACTGCACCCCCCAATATATACACTGCACCCCCCAATATACACACTGCACCCCCCAATATACACACTGCACCCCCCCAAAATACACACTGCACCCCTAATATACACACTGCACACCCCAACATACACACTGCACCCCAACATATACACACTGCACCCCAACATATACACACTGCACCCCCCAATATACACACTGCACCCCATCATACTGCACCCCAATATACACACTGCACCCCAACATACACACTGCACCCCCCAACATATACACTGCACCCCCCAATATACACACTGCAACCCCCAATATACACACTGCACCCCCCCAACATACACACTGCACCCCAACATATACACTGCACCCCCCAATATACACACTGCACCCCAACATATACACACTGCAACCCCCCCCCCCCCCCCAATATACACACTGCACCCCAACATACACACTGCACCCCCCAATATACATACTGCACACCCCAATATACACACTGCACCCCAACATACACACTGCACCCCCCAATATACATACTGCACACCCCAACATATACACTGCACCCCAACATATACACACTGCACCCCCAACATACACACTGCACCCCCCAATATCCACACTGCACCCCCCAGTATACACACAGTGACCCGACCCTCTGGGGATCTATAATCGGTGACCCGATCC